TCCAAAACTTTCACCATGTTAATTTTTGAAATGTCTTGATTGGCCTGTCTTTTCTCATGACCTCTATCTCAAAGAAACGTGATGGTCCTTTCCTATTAAGACTGTAAATACGTAAGAAGCAGTTTTAGTCTGACTGCAGAATTTTGACTGCATCTTCTAAGCGTCTCCTAAAATTGATGCAATTGTCTACCTAGAATTTATAAAAGGTGTTCGGTCTTGGAACCTTCATTTGATATTTCTATTATTGCCAGCCAGGAGGCGGAGCGGTTAGCGCGCCTGACTGCAAAGCTAATGGTTGCGGATTCGAATCTCTCGCCCAGGACATGGATGCTTCGCTCTGTGTGTGAATGAAGTGTCCTTTGTGCGCTCTGTGTGTCTTTTGTGTGAATGTAGCTCACCCTATGAAAGGGTATCTGTGGCAGTGTGGCGTGGGTAATGTTGCTCGCGTCCGTGACTTAGTTCAAAGGTGCCCACCAGGGAACGTTAAATGAGCAACACTTCCGGCATCTTCCAACACGAAAAACGAGAGTTCTGTGCCTGCCATTAAAAAAATATATCTTTATTCTCGCAGCACCCGTGATGAGGAACGCTTTACCTAGTTAGTTGAACATCAATTCTACTGCTAGCCAGTTTTGAGGTCGTCGGGCTACCGAAGCGGGGGTGTCATCCCCTCCGCAGAGGATCAAAATTGTGATGGCATGTCTTCGGATCATTGTCAGGGATGTTGCCCAAACCGTCGCCAATAGCCCATTGTGCAGCTCTAGTGCGACGTAAATTAACAACAACAACAGCTAGCCAGTTTTGGCTGTTGTATTATTAATTGGAGCTTACTATGGTGAAAGATGTTTGTTGTAACTATGTATATGGTTAAAAATTAAAAACCTTTCAAGATATTTCTTATTGCATTTGTCGTCAACTAGAAATAGATAATCAGCACCTATGGAATCGTATAAGCAAATGGAATGCAACATCGCGTTTTTTTAAAATAGATTTTAAAAAAATATGGAGGTCTTTTCGAGACTATTTTTGAAGTAACTTAATGTAGATGGGACACTTTATGTTTACTTATTCGATGCATTTTTCTATCCAGGTAGAGCAGGAAGTGAGTCACTCCTTGTAAATATGTGTTAAAATATGGATTTTCTGAATGTATATGCTTGGTTCTCATTGGTGGTCGTTGTGCCCAACTACAGAAAAAAAAATCAAGGCGGTTTCATTTAGTTTGGGCACACTGTATCTTTGGTATTTTATAGCAACTATTTTTCATGATTCTTCAGATTCTTCTATTTGGTTGTAACTTATAAGTCAAAACTTATAGAACAAAATATTACTAATCAAAAGCAGAAATTGCAATGACACGCGAAAAGCAGCTCATATCTCTAGACTCATATGCACGCCGCACATTTCGAGTCTTACATGCCGCTCAAGTCTCATATGCATTTATTGAAATGGTGCATTCGCCATCTGAAATTTCTTTTCGAGGGATACAATAAAATTGTCAATCATACTTATTTTGATTGAAAATTCTATTCTCTTTTTTTTTTTGAGAATGTTCTCGTCTGTCTGAGTGTTTTATTTTCAAATTAAAAGCTATGGAATCGACATGATTTTGTAAGCTACTCACAAAGCGCCCTCTTCTTTTATGATGTTTATTTAAAGTGGTATTTTTACGTAAAAATTACCATTTCAAATAACTAAACAATCATGAGCTATTACTAATCGTTCTTGCAGGTGTCTTTCTTCTTTAAGTATTGCATGGTTTGTCAAAATTAGCTCAGTTCTTAATAGTTACATAAAAATATTTACCACATTTTTGTTCACACATCTGGTGTTATAACATTCCATTTGAACTATTGGGGTCGTTATATCGAGATTTTACTATATTAGTGTATTATGACCAGAAAGGTAGATTTATTATTTAAAATTAAAAACCACTGTTTTTAAATAGTTATTGGTCGTCACCTTAATTTTGTTCGAAATAACGCTATTTTATGAAGTAGAATAACACATTAGTCATAAAAGGCATCAAAATTGTTTTCCATTTACAGAAAAATAGAGCCGAAAATAATTTCGACACCATTAAGAACAATTTTTTTGTGTGAAATGAAAACAAATATTAACAAAAAAAAACTTCTTGTTTGGTTTCTTAACTTACGCTCACATCGGCATAAAGGTGGGAAATTTACAACATTTAAATTGGGACAGATTTTTTTGTGAAAAAAGAGGGTCATCAAAGCATCAAGGAAGCAGCCGTTATTCAAATAATAGCAAATTCAAATAATAACAGTAGTTGTGAATAACTCTTAACAGACATGACAACTGCTCCGGATTCCAGAAATTATTTTGAAAACGGTAGAGAACTAAAATCGATAATCGTTAATTGATCGTTAATAAAATCGATATTCCAGTTAATTGTTCCAACTTTTTAAAAGACTCAACACGGTTCAGTTGTTACAAAGCAGCGTATCACATAAGCCTATGAATTATTTAGAAGTAGTGGTGAGTATAAACACTATAATACTAATTTACTAAACTAAGAACCATACATTCAAAGACTACCACTTAAAAATATGCATCCACTCTCCAGAGTTAGGTGGTATCTCTGTCTTAATATAGTGGGGGGAAGGAATAAAAAAAGGGTAAAAATTAGCCCATTCAGTAGTAAGCAGTAAATTCACAATTTTCATTGTTAGCCAATTAAAAGTTTGTAAACATATTAATTATATTATAAACACATACGCCAGTAATTGTTTTTGGATCACATTTGTTTTGGATAAACCACAAACCTTCGCCAATTGCTGATTAATGTAATTCTAGTGCTACGTAAACAACAAATTTTAAGATAATATGCATTAGTTTTACTCACTCGTATACATCCACTCGAATAATTTAAATGAAACGAACATCTTTATTCTGAACATCAACTATATATTTCTACTGATTCGCATACATCAACTCAAATAATTTTCATAAAACGAACATCTTTATTCCGCACGTTGACTTTATATTTCCATTGAGTCGCATACATCCACACTAATAAATTTCCTGAAACGAACTTCCTTATTCCGAACATTGAATATATATTTCTATTGATTCGCATTCATCCACACGAAAAATTTTCCTGAAACCAACATCTTTATTCTGAACATCAACTATATATTTCTACTCATTCGCATACATCAACTCAAATAATTTTCATAAAACGAACATCTTTATTCCGCACGTTGACTTTATATTTCCATTGAGTCGCATACATCCACTCGAATAATTTTCCTAAAACGAGCATCTTTATTCTGAACATTGACTTTATATTTCTATGGAGTCGCATACATCCACACAAATAATTTTATTTTGTAAAGCGAACATCTTTATTCTGAACGATGACTTTATACTTCTATTGAGTCGCATACATCCACACAAATAATTTTCCTAAAACGAACATCTTTATTCTGCACGTTGACTTTATATTTCTATTGAGTAGCATATATCAAAATAAATAATTTTCCTGAAAAGAACATTTTTATTCTGAACATTGACTATATATTTCTGCTCACTGGCGTGCATCCACACGAATAATTTTTCTGAAATGAACATCTTTATTGTGAAAAATGACTAAATGTTTCTACTCACTCGCATACATCCACTCGAATAATTTGCCTGAAACGAACATCTTTATTCTGAACGTTGACTTTATATTTCTATGGAGTCGCATAAATCCACACAAATAATTTTATTCTGTAAAGCGAACATCTTTATTCTAAACGATGACTTCATATTTCTATTGAGTCGCATACATCCACACAAATAATTTTCCTAAAACGAACATTTTTATTCTGCACGTTGACTTTATATTTCTATTGAGTAGCATATATCCACATAAATAATTTTCCTGAAAAGAACATTTTTATTCTGAACATTGACTATATATTTCTGCTCACTGGCGTGCATCCACACGAATAATTTTTCTGAAACGAACATCTTTATTCTGAAAAATGACTAAATATTTCTACTCACTCGCATACATCCACTCGAATAATTTGCCTGAAACGAACATCTTTATTCTGAACATTGACAATATATTTCCACTCTGAGTTGTCATTCAGTGCTGCTTGAGGTGGGACAAATCTAGTTCTTGCTGCACAAACAGGCTTCTCTTCTTCCTCTGACTGACGACGAACGATTGGTCTGAAAAACAATTACAAACATTATTTAAAACGTCATTAGTAAACAATTCAACAATTTCAGGATTTACTGTGGTGTGTTATACTGTTGACTATTGGATTGAAACATAAAAGAACTATCGTTCAAAATTCAAATTTTCAGGTCGCAATAATTGTCATTGTAAACCCTAACTTGTCGAAATTTTTTTAGTCAAATTGTATTTTTTTTTTATATCTTATAGAATAGGCTTGAAATTTCCATCTAAAAAATCAAAAAAAATTTTTTTTTTTAAGAAACAAAAGTGTAAAAAAAAGGAGACATTTATGTTAAAAGCGTTAGCCCATTTTTAGGCTAAGTTATTAGGTAGATTCTGGGTTAATTCAACATTGAAATTAAGACTAAATTAAAAAAAAAATTTACGTGTAGATCTACAAAAATATTCATAAAGACATTAATTTTCATGAAAAAATATGCAATTTTCAAGTTTTAACGCATTCTACGAACTTATTCTGTAGATTCCAGGTTAGATTGAAGTTGACAGGAAGAGACTAAGAGTAGTTAAAAGTTTGAATTTCATATATATATATATATATTTGAATTTAACTCCGTTTTGAAGAAATTCACTTAAGAATGCCTTTTTTAATTCAATTCTTCAATTCAATTATTTTTAAGAACAATTCTTATATTAAACCTTCAAGCATTCTCAAAACTACTAAAAAAATTCCCTCATTTTTCCAGCATTGCTTTAGTTTATGTTGGTGGAATTCTAGTTTTTGTATTTANAATTTTTCTGAAACGAACATCTTTATTCTGAAAAATGACTAAATATTTCTACTCACTCGCATACATCCACTCGAATAATTTGCCTGAAACGAACATCTTTATTCTGAACATTGACAATATATTTCCACTCTGAATTGTCATTCAGTGCTGCTTGAGGAGGGACAAATCTAGTTCTTGCTGCACAAACAGGCTTCTCTTCTTCCTCAGATTGACGACGAACGATGGGTCTGAAAAACATATACAAACATTATTCAAAACGTCATTAGTGAACAATTCAACAATTTCAGGATTTACTGTGGTGTGTTTATACTGTTGGTTATTGGATTGAAACATAAAAGAACTATCGTTCGAAATTCAAATTTTCAGGTCGTAATAATTGTCATTGTAAACCCTAACTTGTCGAAATCTTTTTAGTCGAATTTAAAAAAAAAAAAATTTTATCTCATAGAATTGGCTTGAAATTTCCTTCTAAAATATCAAAAAAAAAGTTATATATATGAAATATAACTTTCAGACCTTCGGAATCTCTTTGAAAATCTTAATTTTCATTAAAAAATTAAGCATATTTTTAATTATTAGCCCATTTTTAGATCAGGTTATTAAGTAGATTCTGGGTTAATTCAACATTGAAATTAAAACTAAATTAAAAAAATATATAAAACGTGTAGATCTACAAAAATATTCATAAAGACATTCATTTTCATGAAAAGTATGCTATTTTCAAGCTTTAACGCATTCTTCGAACTTATTCTGTAGATTCCTGGTTAGATTTAAGTTGGCAGAAAAAGCCTAGAGTAATCAAAAGTTTGAATTTTCTGCTCTACTAGGTTTAAAGTTTTACTTTAAACCTAAAATTTGTGTTATATATATATATATTTTTTTTTTTGGAAAAAATTACATTTACGTCTTAAAACTCCGGGAAATTTTAGATCCTTTCCAAGGGAACAAAATATTTCAAATTTAAATAAAATGATTTTTGGTAAATGGCTGACTACCCTGACAACTTTTTATCAATTTGAAACCTTTTTCATTATAGATGTGAGGGCCAGTTGAAGAGGCGCTAATCGAAACATAGCAAATCCATAGCATCCTTAGAAACATAGCAAAAATCCATATAGTTTTTTTTTAAAAAATACATCGTATATGACATTTTGCAGTAAAATTTTCGTAAGAAGCATCATAAGAAATGTCGAAGTCAAATCAATTATGCAGAAAAAGGTCGGATCAAATGTCTCTTTATGATTCATGATTTAGTGATGACAGAAATAAAATTTGTTTTTCAAGATACCTATAGTGAATTTTAGGAGAAAAATAATTCATTTTTAAAAATAATACCTTAAAGGAGTCTTTCAAGAATTAAGAAATAAGAAATCTCACTACATTACGCTGCTCTTTATTAAACCTTTTAATAACCAAAACTATTGTTCTCTCACATGTAGTTTTTCAAAAATATAAAATCTGATGACACAATAACTTAACATATTTCAGTAAAACTAGACTGTATTCTCCAAATTACAGGATTAGATAAAAATAATTGAAACACTTCTTTTACTCACTCTATGTAAATAATCTTGCTTTTAATACCAAATGTTTTGAAAAATTTTACACGGAAAAACTGTTGGCTCTGTTGTAATATTTCATGTCATTTTATTTTAAAATTTTTATTTTCAGATATTTCTTTACTTTAAGTTTGTTAAAGCGAAACAAAGACTTCCGTGTCCATAAAATGTAATAAGCAATATTTTGATTTCTAATTATGCGTTTACAATGTTTCATAAAAACTAAAAGTAAGTCACATTATAATTTATTAATTTAAATTAAGTGTTAATTTCCTGCAATTATTTTTGAAAAGATACTTTTCTACAAAATGTGGGGTAAAGCGGTTGACATTAGGAACAGTATTAAAGTATAAATTGTTAGCATATTTTTTCCCGAAACACTTTTGTAATCATCTCCAGAAGAGCCTATGGCCTATGTGTGGATTACGAAATTTAAAAAATTAGTATGAGAATTTGATTTTGAACATGTAGAAGACATGAGTTTATTGATTTTTAAATTAAAGATTAAATCTCAAGACCTTCGTCTTCTATGTATTGATTGAGATGCCAAGGATGTGGCAACTGGTTGTCCAGCAGCATACCTCCATTGCACTTGTGCGCTTGGTAGTTGGTAGTCATAGTGCACTGCTGTCTGGTATACGATGTAGCCGTCGTGTTGTACCTTAGGGGGTCCTTCTGGGAGTAGCTCGTTGTTAGGTTCCACGTCTCCGTCTCTTTCATCCACAAATACGGTCGTGAAGTTGAACCGTCTGGCCTTCGCACTGCTGACTATTTGGTAAATGTGGTTGCTACAGAAAGAAAAAAAATCTAATAAATCAAAGATTATAGAAAAAAATCACTTCTCTGCCAGAAAAATAGGTTCAAATTTAAACCATAATATCGGATGAGTCTCCTGCAATTGCTAAGTTGAGCCCTGTTGTTTTAATTTTATTTTATAACCGTCGTTAAACAGCCGACCCAAGTTCATGGGTTTACGATTACTAACGTTCAACTCCGTAGCCTTGTAATTTTGATGATGGTAGTGATGGAAAAACTACCTATAATCAAAAATTCTAAACTGAAATAATTTAAATTTTGCTATCACTGGGAAATATTTTTTTATAAAGCGGAGCAAGTTGGCATCTCTGTTTTTGAACAGCTCCTATTTAAATAGCGACAGTTCTCGGTAATTGTTTAACTACCATAAAGATAGTTATAACTATCATAAAGATAGTTTTTCGGTAATTGTTTTACTACCACTTGGAAAATCCATTATCGAAAAGAGTGAATGTTGGCAGGTATGCATACAAAAGGGGGGCGAGTTAAAGGGATGTGTGTATATGCGGAAGTGTGTATATGCGGAAGTGTGGCTCTGTTAAAGTAGAGATCCGGCCGTCCTGGTAATTACCACTCGTGCCAGGTAGCTCTCTACACTTAAGTTACTGGGATTAGCTTACCCCTGATTAGACCCCGAGGGGGTATTTAAATATTTGCGAACAACTAATTTCTTGCAAAATATTTTATGGATTAGTAGGAAACTAAGAACGAAAGTTTCAGAATTTTGATTAGATTTTACTAATATTTCAAAAGCCTCGCTACGATAGAGCTGGATAGTTTGGCATTTCATATAAAATTTCGAATCATTTACATATAGTGGTGTCGGTAATACCTTTGAATCAATTTTTCAAAACACATAATAATACATTAAAACATTAACTTAGCTACAACTTTTCTAAAAAGTGTAGAAAATTGGCAGTCCTGTATTTACTCAAAAACTTTCTTATATTAGTGCACTTTATAACTAAAAGATATCGCAGGAAAAAAATTTTATTCGTTTTTTTTTTTTTTTTTTTTTTTTTTTTTTTTTTTTNTTTTTTTGTAGACTATTCAACATTTTCTCATTTTTAAAAATAAAAAAAAAATAAGAAAAAATAAATAAGTATATTATTCATTGCTTACGTTTCAGAAAATTCTCATAGACTTTTTTTTGTCTTTAACAAATAGATCAACAAATTTTATTAAAAATGTATTATTTATTTTACAAGGATTGCAAAATTATGATCAAAAACATGTGTAACTCAAGATTGCAGGAAAAATCACATATATTTTAATATTTTTATAAACATATTAAATATTTGATCTTAGCGTTTAATTGAGACAACTACGAAATTTTTAGTGTTTTTCTTTTTTTACCATTAAAATTTACAAATCAAAATTAAATCTGTGCAGGGCTGTTTGTATGAACGAAAAGAGGAAACTAACAGTAAAGCAATTTCATTTCTAGAATTCCCGAAATTCAAGTTGATGGTTTTTGCTTTTCTTTAATTGAAAACTGCCTTCAATAATATTTTCCCTCAGATAGTAGTTAAACTAGGCACTTGAGCCTCGAAGCGGGCCCCCTATCCAAACCGTCATGAATTTCTTTTAACACCGTGAGGTCAGCTGTCCGGTTGGTTGCTGGATAAATTTTTTTTTCCTCAGAAAGAAGTTCACACAGTTCTGTGTGAACTTTTCTTTCTTTGTTCACAGTTCTGTGTACATACGCTACATTTTCTTGGTAGCTAGTTATATTTCCCTCATTCCGAAAACAAAGTAGTGGTTTTTAAATTATTTTTTTCAGTCTTTATCTGCGTAGCACAGCTGCCAACTTTTTTAATGATATGTCATAGTGGTAAAAGACAGAGTAAAAGCATTAATGTAATTAGTAATTTTTTAAATTCATTTAAAAATTATGCATCCGCTGAATAATTTTGAGGTTTTTTTATTCATTTTTTAATTCTTTACCACGCGAGGTAGTTAATAAAATTTTAAATCATATCTTTCTCAAATCCAAAATCGTGAGTCGTGGTGGATCAGAGGATAGAGCGTTCACCTTACAATGAGGTGAACCGGGTTCGAATTCCAGCGATGGCTGATTGATTCGAATTCTGGAACTCGAATAGATTCGATCGATCCGGCTCGCACCGACCACGGTGCTGACGTAAAATATTTTCAGAGGTAGACGGATCATGGGTTAGAGTCCCCTTGCCGTCGGGCTAACCATGGGAGGTTTTCCTCTCCATGCAACGTGGATGCTGGTTAGTTTTATCTACAAGTTCTTCACGTAGGCAGAAAATTCCCATTACTTGATCCAGGAGTTCCCTTGTCTTCTAAATTGGGTTCAAAATTACAAGGCTACGGAGTTGACGATTAGTAGTCGTAAATCCAATAAACTGGGTCGGCTGTTCAACGACGGTTATAAAAATTCAATATCGTACTATAAAGCACAAAAAAATCGTAAAATTATTTTTATTTTTTTTACTCTACCACTAATTATTTTTATTCTACAAGTCTTATATTTTTTTCGCTGCCAATTCTTAAAAGTTTTGCAAAGAGCTGAGCATTTGGCATCCTTGGTCAAATTTGATTGAGTTCTTATACCACAGGAAGAAATATTTCATACAAATTACAAAACTCTGAGGTGATGAATACAGATAAGCTTTGAAAACCCGAAGCTGCCAATTTTCTAAGGATGGCGCTTTAATATTATTTTTGAAGCTATAGGCAGAGATCCCAACTGCTTCAGACACGCCTAAATAATTAAAAAAGCAGTAAATTATTACAACGTAAATTTTGTAATTATGTGACTATTTTTGCTTGCTTTTTAAAAGGTGTAGCACGACATATATACTATTAAGTGGTAAATTATATAAGCCAACGAATTATTTAGAAATAGTGGTGGATAAAAATCTACTAAATTGAATTTATTAAGCCAAGAATCACAATTGATAAACTACCACTTTAAAATATATATTTGCTCTCCGGAGCAAGTTGGCATATCTGCTATAGTAAAATTTTTGTTCTTATAAATTTTTTACTTTATAAACATAAAGTGATTTTTTAACTTCCGCTATAAATAAATTGTTTAACCATCTATCTATACATGTTTATTAATATTCCTCTGAGCTATATAAGCAATGCCGATTTCTGCCATTAATTATAAATTGATTATTACTTCTCAACAAAATTAGAAATGTCATAATCAGGAAAGTAAACGTTTTCAGGTATTGACAACTACATCCGCGACATCCATTAATTAAAATTCTATCCGACAAAACTTGTTTTATTTCTAAAGATCTTCCGTTACCATTTACGCCTCCCGTTACTGTGGCAATAGGCAAATAAAGCCATCAAGATCCGAATCATCCTTCCTTCTTAGCAATCAAATTTAAACAAGGTCAATGCGTACCATTGCGACACGAAGCGTGGGATTGTTTTTGATTCGTTTCGAGTCTACGACCATCTTGTCATTGACCGGATTTTTTTGAGTTTTTTTTTTCTCCCCGTTCGCAAAATTCGATGATCTCTATAAACGCACCAGCTTCCTCGAAGACAACGCCTTCCAGAAACACCAAAAAATTATTTCATCATCGACCGTAGTCTACTTGAGATAAGAGGATTGGCCATTGCATAATAGTTTTCTTAGGGAATGTCAAAGGGGAAAAAGAATTTAAAAAAATTGTACAATACCTTCCTTCTCTGGAATTTGTAACAAGGTCTGGGGAAACCACAATAAGGTTATTTACTCCTTCAAGTCAGCTTCTTATACTAGTGCATACCTGCCAACATTCAATCTTTTCGAGAATGGATTTTCCAAGTAGTAGTAAAACTATTACCAAAAAACTATCTTCCTCAAAAATATATTTATATTTTAATTGGGTTGAGATTCGCTATCGCAACGATTAATATGCTTTATATATTTGTTGTAATTATTTATATGTAGTGGTAGTCAAACTGATTTAAAATTATTATTATAATTCAAAAATTTTAGTGAAATAACATGAAATTCGCTAGCTCTTTAAATATGAAAATAAAATCTTCCGGGAAAACCGGAAGAGTTGGCAGCTATGCGAGTGAGATCAATAACTGTTAGTAAGAATTTTGCATTTTCACCTTAGGGAATTATCAGGGTGCGTAGCCAGATCTTTTGACAAAAAATAAGTACCTTTTAAGTACTTTATAAGCACTCAAAAAATATTTTTACTCACAAAAAAATCGTCATAAGGATCTGGGTTAATAAAACTTTTTTCTATCGTTTAAAGATCTTAATTTATAAACATAAAAATCAATAAAATTTAAAAAACATTACATAATCATCATGATAAAATAATTAGTTTCTGATAAATATTGCAGAGATAATTGTGAAAATCATGCATTTTTTGCAATTTAGTACGACAATCGACTCGGCGAANCATTGCATAATAGTTTTCTTAGGGAATGTCAAAGGGGAAAAAGAATTTAAAAAAATTGTACAATACCTTCCTTCTCTGGAATTTGTAACAAGGTCTGGGGAAACCACAATAAGGTTATTTACTCCTTCAAGTCTGCTTCTTATACGAGTGCATACCTGCCAACATTCAATCTTTACGAGAATGGATTTTCCAAGTGGTAGTAAAACTATTACCGAAAAACTATCTTCCTCAAAAATATATTTATATTTTAATCGGATAGAGATTCGCTATCGTAACGACTAATATGCTTTTATATATTTGTTGTAATTATTTATATGTAGTGGTGGTCAAACTGATTTAAAATTATTATTATATTTCAAAAATTTTAGTGAAATAACATGAATTTCGCTGCCACTTTAAATATGAAAATAAAATCTTCCGGGAAAACCGGAAGAGTTGGCAGCTATGCGAGTGAGATTAATAACTGTTAGTAAGAATTTTGCATTTTCACCTTAGGGAATTATCCGGGTGCGTAGCCAGATCTTTTGACAAAAAATAAGTACTTTTTAAGTATTTAATAAGCACTCAAAAAATATTTT